TACTGATTATAACTATGTAGGACTAATATGTACTTTCTTTACTGTGTCCTTTTCAGGATCCTAGGACTGAGAACAATCCTTATCTTGGTTTCATCTACACCTCCTTCCAAGAGCGGGCGACCTTCATCTCACACGGGAACACTGCTCGTCACGCCAAGGACTTTGGTGACTTAAAGCTTGCACAGATCTGTGGCATCATTGCCTCAGATGAGAAGCGACATGAGACTGCGTACACCAAGATCGTGGAGAAGCTGTTTGAGATCGACACTGATGGTACTGTGGTTGCTCTGGCTGACATGATGAAGAAGAAGATCTCAATGCCTGCTCACCTGATGTTTGATGGGCAGGACGACAAGCTGTTTGAGCACTTCTCCATGGTCGCGCAGAGGCTTGGCGTCTACACTGCCAGGGACTACGCCGACATCCTTGAGTTCCTTGTCGACAGGTGGAAGGTGGCGGATCTGACTGGTCTGTCAGGTGAAGGGAACAAGGCACAGGACTACCTTTGCACCCTTGCTTCAAGGATCAGGAAGCTGGACGAGAGGGCCCAGAGCAGAGCCAAGAAAGCAGGCACGCTGCCTTTCAGCTGGGTATATGGTAGGGAAGTCCAACTGTGAAATCGGAAACCCATTGCGACTGTTGAGTTCCAGCGAAATCTATCATGCATCCTGAGATGCATCGCGAAGACAAGACCTGGTGTGTCGCGTTACATAGTTGTTCAGGTTTTGACCAAATGGTCTGGGAGCATTCTGTTTGCTTGTGTCGTCTCATAGAGTGATAGGAGAATGTTCGGCTGTGTTCTAGCTTCGTTTTTTCTGCTTTTTTGTACAACCTGTGGCCGCATGAACTGGGCGTGGACATGGAGTGAACATGCTGTACGTTGTCTGTCGCTGGCGTTGTGTTTCGGTATGTTATTCTGTTGTTCAGATCTGTTAAAAAATCGTGAGCTATGAAGTTCAGTTCTGTTGCTGTTTTGTTCATCAGATGCCCAATGTTTCTTCGTGGCTTGAATTCTGCAGTGTCAAAAATAACGTAGAGCTCCAATTGAAGGGTACTAGAGTACTGATGCAGCCAGCATATATCTTTCAAAAAAGATTGAAAAATCTTGCAAACAATGAGCTCCAACCGACGAAAGAGCAACTATCTTTCTGCCTGAAGATAAGCGGCATACGATTCGTCACTCAGTTCATCGAGTGGCATTTTTGTACTGCATAAACCAGTCGTTGCTATCTCGCTGCATCGGGAGATGTGGCTTAACGGACACCATTGTTAGTGCAGTTTAGAGAGATGGACAAGTACTGGCCTGTGGAGAAGAGAATATCCGATCGAAACGGTGCCCTGCAGCATGCAATACGTCTCCAAAAATAAAAATAAACCCAGCATCAGCATGCAATCTCTCCCTGTCGCTCATGTGCTTGTGTGCAGGATACAGGCGGTTAATATACGAAATGCTGTACCAAGAGAAGATAATATGCTCTCTCTCTGCAGCTGATATTCGCTTCCCTTGTATGGCAGCCATATATACACTGTACAAGTTGGGCAGAGCCCGAAACGGCTTCTGACCATTCAATCTTTGGCTCTTTGCGCTTCTAACCATTCCAATCTTTGGCTCTTCTTCATTTGCAGGGCCCTGAGTGAGTGATGTATGCCTTTGTTCCAATTCCAAACTAAGTGCTGCGAGCATTTGCTAAGATATGCGGGATCCGGATTCTTTTCGCGATGGAAGTTTCAAATGATGGTAAAATTACAAGAAATCCACTGAAATGCAGTCAACCTGAATTTGTATACCGTGGACCTTCCAAATCTCTGCTAATCTGAATGTCTGGATGTGCTCGAGACAGCCTCTTTATTGTTATTTCATTTAAGAAAAAGCCTCTTTGTTGTTATATGAGCAGCCACTGACAGGTGGGCACCACCAGAACCATCTTTCGGCCCCACCTGAGAGAAGGAACAGGAGGAACAATTCGTTCGCGCCATCCTGAATGCTCTGGAAACAAATGGGAGGAGAGATGCCTCTCTGTTCGAGCCGAGTGCTGACGAGCAAGCAAAATCCCCTCTGCCACCTGAAAGGAGGAAAGCCATTCCCCTCATTTGCAAATTGCAAATATCGCATGCGACTATGCGAGGATGGGATGCGGATGAAAGTAGCAGCTATAGCTGATCTCCCCTTTACATGCATGTATGCGGTGAGAAGGAATGGAACGTACAGTACGCCTCCTGCTGGTTGCTGCATGCCCAGATGGTTCGTTCAACTTGATGTCCACAGTAGGATGGCCTACGGGCGTCAGCAATTGGTTCCATGAACCGATATATCCATCAAATCAAATAAAGCACGCACACATGCATGATGCATGTATATATCAGTAGATGGGGATTAATTCCCCTAATCCTCAAGGATGACGAGAGAGTGTCAGAGTGGGAATATATACTGTACACATCGTTGCAGGTAGCAAGTAGCAGCTCTTTAGTCTTTACTGCATTTGCAAAAGTAATCCAAAAGGGGGAATCAGGCTAGGGAGAATATCATTACGTTTGGTTTCTGAATTGGTTAGGACGCATGGTTATTTGACGGTGGTTGTTAGTTAGCGTGGATGTTTGCGCGTGCATGCTTGGAGATAGATGCTAATCCGCTTATGCACTGCCGTAATCTGTGTTCAGGATGCAGGTGGACTTCTATTTTAAGTCGACATCCTATTTGGGTTGTGACACAAATTGACTTGTTTAAGTGTTTGCCTGATTAGGAAAAAACACCACTTCATTAATTTTCTGTCAGATATCACCAAAATAAATCAACTTCTAAAGTTGTCCTAAGTCAAACTATTTTAAGCTTAACACATTTTATAGGAAAAATGCATCAGCATCTATACCATCACTGGTTACACCATAAAATATATTTTCATGGTCTTTTTATTTGATGTCATAAGCAAGAGGATGCGCGTTAGCGCAACGGCTTTCACGCTAGTTGCTATTATTCTTAATTATAAAGTTGGTCAAACTAAAAATAGTTTGGAGGGAGAGGGAGTATATATAGACAACTTGTGATGTTCTGAAAGATTCTTAGTGTGATCCTAGTATTACTCCGGCACTGTTTCCAAACCCATTTTCAGTCCGATCTAGACCAATTCAATTTCTTTAAGATCATCGACTTGAAAGTTGAAATCATTTCAATGGGGGCCACTTACCACCATAATCTTGAATGAGAGTAGTCTCTTGCACATCCCAATGTTCTCGCTAAAACTCCCTCAAGATGAACGCCTTGGACACCATTAATAATAAGACCAAAGGAAAATCAAAGCCTTAATACACACTTTTTTCGCTTAAGTGGCTTAGCATGTGTTTCATTAAAGAGGAAGAGAATTACATGACACAGCTATGAGAGAGCCCTACAAATTACAAACCACCAAGCTAGCGGTAAGCGACCTAGAACAAAGCAAAGCAACAAGAGAAAAAAAGAAGCAACAACGGCCCTCAACACCAAAAACCTTACCAAACTGGCTACAACAAATATCTCCGAGCACCGAGCTTACATTTGCTCTATTGTGTTCTTAGTCTTCACGAATATCCTTTGCGCCACATCCCAAACATCAATACAAATCTTCAGAGCCAAGACACTTGTAGCCAATCAACTTATGACTAACTCAAATGCGAATACCATTGTAAAAATACGTTACTCACGTACTTACGGCACTTGTGTTCATCTACCACTAAACCCTAAGTCATAAAATTGAGATCTAGATGTGTTCACCACGTCAATCAGGGCCTAAATTACTGACAAATTAATTATAATGTGTGCTAACAAGAAGACTAGAAAAAGACAAAATAAAAAAATTATAATGTGCATAATATCTAAAGCCAACAAATGACAGCACTAATACCTGTCCTTATATATGCACTATATCATGAGTTTAATGCACTATTGAGTTTATGCAAGGGATAATGACAGCACTATATCATGAATAAATAAACTCAATAATTTGGACAACATGCAAGGGATTATGCATTATGCGTACAAGAACCATTGTACCGCATTAATTCCTTGCGGCGATATATATGTGCTCATCGATGAGTTGAACCTCCACGATAGGAGTACATCTCTGCCGAGAGCTCTGCTCCAATACGCGCGAATATATGTGAGGTGAGAATATGGTAGCAGGCGTTTGCTTTGGCCACCTGCAAGAGATGCTACTCGTAGAGCGCTTTTGCAGCGATACTGACACCGCCTGATGTTGAAGGCTTGAAGAGTTGTAAGAACTATTAATAAAAGGTGTACCCAGTGTAGATAGTTTTCGCTCTGTGCATATTATTAATTATCATAAGCTTGCTATAGACGACTAGCATATTTCTTTTGTGCGAACGTAAGCATGTATTTCACTAGAGAGAAAAAGACAACAATACAAAACTTGTGTTGGAATAAATGGGCTTGGCCTCGTTGAGAAATTCTGATGATTCTAAATAAATTCAAAGGCCCATTCATGAGTGATGAAACTTTAGACCCAACTAGTTGAAGTGGAGTGACATGTTTTAATATGGAAACCCTCTCTGCTAAGTCTTGGGTGGAGAGAGAGAAAGGTACTCCACACAAAAGGATGCCTTCAACGGCCACGATCCACCCGGCTGGCTAGCTGCTCCCGTTGCTGACGCTAGCTGCATGCACCAGACGTGGCAGTGCTAGTCTCCAACCTCGATCGCCCATAGGCTACCGCTCTATAAAGCTCGCCACCCCCACACACTCTGCCTCTCACACTGCACATCCATATCGACGACGACGATCTAGCTCGCTCGAGATCGCAATTTTTAATTTACGCACGCGATCGCACTGTTCTTCTTCCTCCCACACGATCGAGTAGCTGCATATATTGCTGCCAACCGTGCAGGGATAGTAGCTGCGCGCGAGTTCATTTATCACCTAGCTAAGCTAGCTAGCTCTTGGTGAACGAAAGCTGCTAGCTAGAGAGATCGATCGATCGAGACAGAGATTTAGCTATCAGAAGGCGAGGAGGATGATCGGGTGGGGCGACGTGTACAAGGTGGTGGCGGCGACGGTGCCGCTCTACTTCGCGCTGTTCCTGGGCTACGGCTCCGTGCGGTGGTGGCGCATCTTCACGCGGGAGCAGTGCGACGCCGTGAACCGGCTGGTGGCCTTCTTCGCGCTGCCCTTCTTCACCTTCGAGTTCACGCTGCACACGGACCCGTTCCAGGTGAACTACCGCGCCGTCGCCGCCGACGTCATCTCCAAGGCCGTCATCGTCGGTGTCATCGCCTGTTGGGCCGCCAGGGTCACCTCCGCGGGCAAAGGTGCCGGTGGCGGCGGCTGGGCCGGCTGCGCCGTCGGCTGGTCCATCACTGGCTTCTCGCTGTCAACGCTCACCAACTCCCTCGTCGTCGGCGTGCCCATGGCCAGGGCCATGTACGGCGAGTGGGCGCAGCAGCTCGTCGTCCAGCTCTCCGTCTTCCAGGCCATCGTCTGGCTCACGCTCCTCCTCTTCGTGCTCGAGATCAGGAAGGCCGCCATCGGCATGTACGTCGACGTGCCGGACTCGCCGGTTAAGGACGTCGAGGCCGCCGACCCCGCCGCCTCTGCTGCCACCGTCGTCGTGGTCCCTGTCATCGCCAGCGACAAGCCCTCGCTCTGGGCGCTCGTCAAGGTGGTGGCGCACAAGCTGTCGCGCAACCCCAACACGTACGCCAGCTTCGTCGGCATCACCTGGGCCTGCGTTGCCAACAGGTACGTACGTATTGCATGCTTATACGCCACGTACATACGCAGTGCATGCAGCTTCTGTCGGTGATTAGTTAGAAATTAATATAAATTTTTAGCAAACTGCATGCATAGTAAATTAGTAATTCGGCATCTATCGACGACTATACCCATCTACCTGTGCACATAAATATATTCAGTACAGTAAAAAATTAGTAGGTGCATGCTGCACAACAGGCCCCTACAAACTGTTCTGTAGATGATTCTCTGCTAATTAACTTACATGCATGCATGCTGATTCCATGGCACTCTTGTTGCCGGTTTAGCTAGTGCGAAATGTGTGGTAGGCAGGTAGCTGGCTACCAGAATTGTGGTCTGACGTGTGTAGCACACCTGAAGTGACATTAGATACATATTACATGGTGATGGTGTTCTCTGATGCTCAAGCCAAATAGCCAATGGCCCTGGCCCCAGAGATGATCTCAAATGGCCTAACCCATGCCAGCCATGAGTTTATTTAATTCTTGCCTCCGGTCAATATGCTTGCCTGATGTGGGATTACGCCAAGCTCAAACATGTCTGACGATGGAATACTACTGCCTCTGCTCTTCTGAAACTGAACAGGCTGCACATCGAGCTGCCCAGCGCCTTCGAGGGATCGGTGCTCATCATGTCAAAGTCGGGCACAGGAATGGCCATGTTCAGCATGGGTGAGTAATTTCTGTCTCCTGAGAAGCTAGCCCCAAATATTTGTAAGTCTACATGTGTGCATACGAACACTGTACATAGCAAAAAAAAAGTGAACACACACGATTTAATTTTACTAGATTAATTAATTTGTCAATCTTTTCAGCAAGTACATTTAACATGTTCTGCCTGTCTCCGAAGATCTTACTACATATTGAAAAATAGCACTGAGTGAAAATTAATTTACGTTGCAAGCATTAGCAGCAAGCTAGTCTAGCTAGCGGTGTGTACTGTAGGATAGGACTGAATATTGATATTCCTGTGAGAGGCCGTTTGGGGTCCTTTCATTTTGAGTAATTAAAATCTACTTAATAAATTAGACTATTTGACTTGGAATTTGACATTCCATCACTTTTCAAAATTCATATATAAGCCTATCTCAAATTCATAGGATGGGAGATGAAAATTGATTCTACAGATTATCATCCTATGTTTCTACTTTGTAACTTATAACACGCTCTTCAACCCACTCCCCTACGGTAGAAATGCAACACATAAGTATCTCTCATATAGCCAACAATAATATAAAAATATAATTCATATACAACCATATTAGCTTAATTAATTTATGTCTAAATTATGATTATTAAAATAAATTAAATTTGAAGGATCCAAACGGGACCTGAGAGTTATTCAGGATCAGGCATGCAACAAACTATATCTATGCTAGCTAATAATGCTAAAATGCATGGTTAATCTCCACCACACGTGCATGTACCCTAGTTCTCTTGAGTGACTTGTTATTCCCACTCATTTCGATTAATTCTCGTATCCAGTACTCTAGCCAACAATACATATATTCTATTCGATAATCGCCGCCATAATACAAGGAATATAATAATCCCCTAAATAAACAGGAACCGAACAAACGAAAGGCATAAATTATATCTGCCGCATGGATGCCGTTACGTATATATAGGAGTAAAAGAGGCATTGTTTAGTTGGCCAAATTTTAGAAATTTGGCTATTGTAGCACTTTTATTTTTATTTGACAGTTAGTGTTTAATTATGGATTAATTAGGCTCAAAACGTTCGTCTCGTAATTTCTAACAAAACTGTGCAATTAGTTTTTTTCGTCTACATTTAATACTCCATGCACGTATCGCAAGATTCGATATGATGGCTACTATAACACTTTTTTGGGAAAACTTTTTAGAACTAAACAAGGCTGAAAGGGAAAAGTGTTTTTAGTTTTTTACCCAGCGACGGATAGTGACTGGTGACTGACTGACAACTTTCTGATGAGGTCGTTTTCGTTTGCATCGCATGACGCTGTAGGGTTGTTCATGGCGCAGCAGGAGAAGGTGCTGGCGTGCGGGCCCAGCTTCGCGGCGCTGGGCCTCGTGCTCAAGTTCGCGCTCGGCCCGGCCGCCATGGCCATCGGCTCCATCGCCGTCGGCCTCCGCGGCGACGTCCTCCGCGTTGCCATCATACAGGTATCGTACCTTTCCTTTTATGTACGCATGCGATAGTCTTAGCTTTTACCACCACTTTTGACCTTTTACCTTTTACAAAACGTACGTCGCTTGACGACGATTCCAATAGAACGTCGTTGCACTTTCACGAACACGTACGAGTGATCGATACATGCACATAGCAAGCACGGCCATACCTTTTTGCATGGATATATTTCATTCTACTTTAGTTTAGGACAAAAACGATTTCGCAAGGTCATCAATCATATTGATTGCATCTAACCAGCATTAGATCTCATCCACAGAAACAACATTATCACACCAGCCGCCCTACGGATCCAATCATCCAAAGTTCCAAACAGAGCCTAAAGAGTGCCTCGTAAGCATATAGGGTGGTGACAGTGTCATGGGAGGGACAACAGGAACAAATGGAGGATCTCTATGTGAAAACCACACACGAATTCACTACGCGAGATTTGAGTCCACATATGCCAGCACCAGGACAGCATGGCGCCACTAACTGTACCCACTTTGAGCTTTATTACGACCGGTATTGGTTGCTTGCACGGCCACAAACATGAACCTGCTAAATATAGCTTAAAAACTAAGCATGACCAAAGGCGCAGTAGGAGATTAATTAGTCCCAACGCTCATGCAAGCGCGCAATCCAGACAATACTTGTTATCACCACCATTGTAGTTTGATCAAGGTTATCCTGACCTTCAGCATTCATGATTTCATATCATTCAGAAACAGGGGTCAAACAATAAACCATGCATGGATACTATTCCAGGAACATAGAACACACAGACCGTTACTGCTGTTGTTTGAAAATGTTCAGCGTCGCTTTTAGGGTATGATTTTCTTGACAAACTTATGACAAGAGAGAACGTCATTGAAATCCGTCTCAAATTTTAAAATGTGTACACAAAGCAAACAGAGCTTTGTTCAAACAAAGTGCAGCATGCGCGTCATACCTCGTAAAGCACCTGTTTTTGGCATGTTCTAGAGCCTGACCCCACATAATTCGCAGTCATCTGCCAAGCAAAATGCCATGTCAAAAGCATCAACCTGGGAAGTCATCACCAACCACTCATCTGATGCATAATGCATAATGATGAATCAAGCTATATAATGCTAGTTATTAAACACCATCACCAGTATTATAAGAGAAACATGTAAAGTCCGATGACATAATTCTGCTGAAGGTTTTAAAAGCCAGTAGTTGCTGTTGTGGACCTTGCACTTGTAGGGTGCACCAGGGCAGGCCTACTCATCATGTCAGCTAATGCGCATTTCGCTGGAGATGAACTAACCTTGATCAAAATATTTGGTTTGCTTTCTGGGGGAAGCAATTTTTTTTTATGAACACGATTATATAACAGAAGAGTTCTGTTTTCTGTCTGACTGATGTCTCTGTCATAACTTCATAATACCCCATTTAGACACTTCTAGCCCTAGGCCACGTTTAGTTCGCGAAATTTTTTGGGTTTTGCAACTGTAGCACTTTCGTTTGTATTTGGAATTAGTGTCTAATCATGGACTAATTAGGTTCGAAAGTTTCGTCTCGCGATTTCTCACCCAACTGTGCAATTAGTTTTTTTTTTCGTCTACATTTAATGCTCCATATATGCGTCCAAAGATTCGATGTGATGGGCAAAACCAAAATTTTTTGGAACTAAACGTGTATGATAGAAGGATGTAAAAGTGGCTCAGGGAGATAGGAGCTTCTGGATGTTCGAAGATAAACATTATTTCCACTTGTCATACTGGAGGTAACTAGGGGAGCCTTATGTCAGAAATGGCCTCAAAAAATGTATGAACTCAAATCTAGACACCAAGGACTGGATGCCTTAAAAGAGGTGTGAATTGTTCTTCCATCCAGATAGTGGGGTTCAAGATGGCAAGTTTATCAGCAAGCACCTGACGCTAGGCGGCTAGGGTTGCGTAGGCCTGATTTCAGGCATATCGAGATTGTGGCCCCTTCCAGGGTCATTGTTTGCCTAGTCTAGGCCTTCTTAATTAATATATATATTCGCAGCCCTTCTACACGGTTCGTTAAAAAATGCATATCAAGATCATATGTGTACTATGTTAATCTCTTCAGATTTTATGGAACTTGTGCATAGCCTAACATTTGTACAAACATTTTGCAGGCTGCACTACCTCAATCCATCACATCATTTATATTTGCAAAAGAATATGGGTTGCACGCTGATGTTCTTAGTACTGCGTAAGTATTTTGATCTGGCTACAGATTGGTAGTAGTTCAAGGTGTGCTCCTGCAATTTCTCGGTGTTAACCATATTGTTGCTCAATTTTGCAGGGTTATTTTTGGGATGCTTGTCTCCTTGCCGTTGCTAGTTGGATTTTATATCATTTTAGAGCTAATTAGGTAGATGACGGGGCATAAACGTTGATATGTGACTTCCCTTGAAGCTGCTCAAACAATCATACTAAGGGTCCGTTTGGTTGGGCTTTTGGCCCCAAAAGCCAAAAGCCCAACCAAAGGGGTTGTTTTTGGAGGCTGCTTTTTCAGAAGCAGTTGCTTTTTCGTAGTACATTTTTGAAAGCTGGTTTGATCCTGCTTTTGGCTTTTGGCTTTCTGCTTTTCAAAATTGGTGGAATAAAAAGCTCTTCCATAGTTGTTTCAAGAGAGATAAAGATAGAAGGTATATTTTATACTTGTTTAACCAAACAGCTTTCAGCTTTTCTACAGCACAGCCCACAACAGCTTTACCACAGCTCACAGCCCACAACAGTTTTTTCCCACAGCCACAGCTCAACCAAACACACCCTAACAAGTGCTAAGAAATGCCTCATGTTTTCGTTCCTCATTGCACAAAAATGCAAGGGGATTTATTGAGTACTATCCAATATGTTTTAACATGTATTATGTAAGAAGGATGCTTATTTCATTCTCTTATTCAAATGAATGTGTGACGCGCAGACTTGATTCTGAATTTGTTACAATGAGCCAGCCTAGGCACTAAAAACTGATATGTATTTTTTAAAATCGTATGAATATATTTGAAGTCGCCTCACCCTCACTATATACAAGCCAACCAAAGTTTGCTCATATGGAAATGTATGAAAGGACAAAACTAAGAGACAAGATTAGAAAAGACTCCAACAGCATTACCTCAGTATACTTTTGATCATATTGCCTAATTCTTCACCACGGTCCTCTTGCACATGGTGCCCCGCCTGCATAAGTCATTGCACAAAATAATATGAAAATATAATATGAAATGAAGAAAAAGGAAGAAATAAATCCAGAAAATGCGTTAGTCGCTCATGCACAACCATGTGTCATTATGCATGCAACACAAACCACACTACACACTACCCCATGCACAAACAGTCATGAAAATGATTAAACTTGAAAATAGCTGGTTTTCATGACAAACCATTGGCAGCTCTACAATCTTCTGGTTTAGGCCTCCAAAAAAATCTTCCACCCCATCATAGCTGAGCCAACGATCTCTCATGCCCCAGCATACTGTTATCTTTGTTTTCCACGAATTACTTCTTAATATGCTTCTCATGGATTCAATGTAAGCCTTAAAAGCATCCAATTTAGAACATATATGAATTAAACAAAGCAAACACACAGATATGGATGAGGGAAAAACACCTTAAGGTCCTTTTTCATAGCTTTGCTTATTGCATTAAGTGCAAACCCAGAGGAACCAGAGACAAGGTATGGCCTTCTATACACCATAGCATCTTCTTCCTTCATCATGTATGGACCACAACTAGTCAATACCTTATCACTAGCTCTGAGAGGATCCTGAAAGAATTCAAGTGAAGGAGTTACATCTGGACGCAAAACCGAAACAGCTATAGGGTTAAAATTCAGTTGACATTGGTGCCTGCTGACCTGAGAAAATATCTCGCCCAACAAGAAGTTGCTGAATGAAGCCAAGGTGGATGGAAGGTTCACATGTTTATCAGTTATCTGGAATATAGAAATACTCTCAGATCAGTGTACAATGATGAAGTTTTGAAGGCGGAGATGTATTTATAACCATAATGTCCCTGCAAAAGCTATACACTAATTCAAAAAGGACCTAACCGGTGGATTCACTAATATAAGATGATTCAATTTGTCTTGATGTTCACTAGCATATTTGACTGCAACCGGAGCAAAGTAGCCCTGCAAAATTAACATTCTCATGCAACAAAGATCAAAGAGATGGATTCATAAAGACTTCAATAACGAGAAGAACCTGAACAACAATAGAGAGCTTATCAGGAGCAACAGCATTGACTAGAGATTCCAAGGACGAGGCATACTCTGGAACATAGGAGTTCACATTATTAGGTCGTTCAGAATGCATTGTTTGGTTGAAACAGAATAATCAGTATGTGTCGACCATTTTACCATCAAGAGTATAGTCAAAACCATATTTTGGTTGAGGCTTATCAGAAAATCCAAAACCTGCAGACACAAACTTCTTTGCTTTGAAATTAGATAAATATCATTCTGCCCCCAATCCCAATACCGGGAAAAGAGTAGCAAAATTACACAAAATGGGTATTTAGAAGGTTATAGTGCTGTTGCATGATTTTACAGTAGACTTTGAAAATGAAGAAGTACAATCAAATGTTGGCTAGTGTTTTTTAGTTTTGGTGCCAAAAGATGACATTTGGTACAAGTGACGACTTTCTGTGTTTGTATATATACTCATCAGGCATAACTGTCAAAATACTCCAAAACATTTGTGCCAACGGCAACACCGATATATGCAGGACTTTAGTTTTCCATGCCAACTCAATAGACTACTTTGCATCAGAACCTTTTAAATTAATGAAACAGCAGAGATGTGTGTAAGTGCTCACCGAGCCAATCGAAAGCAATGGCATGATATTTGTTTGACAGTACAGGCATCACATTGCGGTAAGAGTATGCCTGTAATGAAGTGTGGTAGCAACAGTCATCATGTCATGAAACTATACATATCACGACATTGTCAGTGTAACTTAAAAGTGCTACTTTGATTGTTGACACATCAATTTGTTTGTTCTGACATTAGCCAAGCTTCAGTAGGGCACATGAAACTGAGGTAAAGACATATCTCGTCCTTTCAGTCTACCAGTTTGCTAGTCATGCAAGAAAACTGGAAGCAATAAGCCAGATAAAAGCCCACCTGCGATGGCAAGCCGTGAATTAAAAGCACTTTAGGATTAGAAGAGCTCCCAGCCTCCACACAGAACCATCTGCATCACAATGAGAAAACAAATGAGAGCTGTCTCCTGTAATGTATCAACACACTTCTCAAGGAAGTAGACACCTGGCATGAAAGCAAAAGATCGAATGCAATACACATTTTTGTACTTGACACCCTGCTAACCACTTACTCAATTCACCTGAAAACGTCATCTGAAGATTGAGACCCTGATCCCATCGTCAGGCCAAAGAATGGATCTTTTGCCTTCCCTTTGTCCCCATATACTGGGTAAGCGTTTACCTGCATTGCAGTTCAACGCCGTCAGATCAGAATTGAACGTTCCTACTGCACCTAATGCATTCGTAGCTAATTACACCACACCAGCACACGCGCAAACACACGTGTCCACACTACAAAGGCAAAGGTGCTAATATGCGCCCATTTTTCAGAGCATTCGCCAATTGCAAAACTAGGAAAAGCAGAAAGTTTCACTCAAAAAAGGAAAAGCAGAAAGTAGTAGCATACCATTTTGCCTTGAGCAAACCACTCGTCTGACTTACTTGGTCCGTCCCCGTACTTCCCTGCAACAATCAACACAAAATACAAGAAAAAAATATAACAATAGCAATCAATTCGAATCGAACCCGGCTGATAAAGCCCAGAATTCCCCAAATCCCAGACTCACCTCCACTGAAAGAGAAGCCATCCCCAATGGACTCCTCCGCATCGATCAAGTAATAATCCTACACAAAACAAAATGCACAAACAAAATAAATCACATACACAAATGCAGCAATGAAATATTATGGCCCGTAGCAGCGTCGCCGGTACGGTTGTGGACAGCACGAGACCTCGTCCTTGGGGAGCGCGGCGCGGCGCCAAGAGGTGAGCCTCCTTGGCCGGGTGCGGCAGGGAAGGGTGGTGCGGAAGCGCGGCACCGTTATGGCGGGGCCAACTGCGGCGAGCTGCGGCCCCATTGGAGGTGCGTGATGCTGCCATGGGGGACCCGATTCCAGCGGTGTTTTGGAGGGAGGAGCCGAGGAGGCGAACCGTAGATAGGGTTTGGTTGGTTCGCGCGCCTCCCGCCACAGTTTTCTTTGCGGGCTGTCTGTTAGTGGCTCATTGGCTCCAGCCCAGTTTTCTTTGTGGGCCGTCTGCTTGTGGCGATCGGGACAGGCATACAAAGTGCAGCCCAACAAGTAAAGCTACTGTATACTCTCTCTAAACAAGTCATTTTACATAAAATATTTTACTATATTTGTCGGGTTCATAAACCCGGGGTCCCTCGGGAACCGGCTTTCACACCAAGGCTCGGTCCAAGCAGACAGCACGCAACTCATGGGCCGACCCAAGACTCTAAAACAATAGGCCGAAAGGGCGGTCCAGTCACCGACCGGAAGGTCTAGCCGAAGAGGAACAGCGCCTGCTCGTCGACTACTTCGGCCCACCTCTCCGACCGGAGCGCTCACTTCGGACTCCAGCCGCCTCCGGACGGCCTCTCCGATCGGAAGGCCTGGCCCAAGCACTACTTCCGACTCCGACCTCGCATCTCCGACCGGGGTTCGTAGAAACCCTGCTCACCGTTCTTCTCCGACCAGAGGACAAACGGAGAAAGCAAGCCAGGGCGCACAAGTCAAACCACGATACCAGGGACCATACCCTGTACGCCTGTAGGAACAGTACTCTGCAACCGCTCTGACACAAACAGTATTGTACGCGCCGATATTTCCCTCTACAGTATTGTGGGCGCCATTAACTCCCATACGGTAAGGCCCCCCACATGCCTCTAGGCATCGATAGTGTTGTGGACGCCAGGACTTACCGTACCGGGTGAACGTAGTGAAACTCCTCACATGCCTCTAGGCATCAACAGTATTTGCAGGTACCGACATCTGTTATTCCTGAAGAAGGCAACGCAACCTCCCACATGCATCTGACATTCTACAGTGACATCATCAGTGTTGTGGGCGCCTACCATTATCTTATACCCGCCGGCATGGGCAACAAAGCTCAGTAGCATACGTACCCTCACCCTCTCACTTGTAAAGCCATCCCCTTTATCTATAAAAGGGGATGCGCTCCCTCCAACATAACAGAGAGCCCCTTTTAGTTAATAAACATCGATCAAGTTCACTAGCTCACAACCACAGAATTGTCGGGTTCAGACCTCAAGCACACGCCTGAACACTTAGCTCATAGCGTAGCTCCTGTCACTCTCGGCCCTT